GAGGGTAGTGACAACGTAAGAGAACAGAAAAAGTTCATTCTGGTCACCAAGTATGAATCTTTTAAGATGGAGCCTCATGAAAATATCGACAAAATGTATTGTAAATTTAATGATCTGATCAAGGATTTAGAGGTACTTGAGAAGGAGTACTCTCTAGGTGAAAAGAACAGAAAAATTCTGAATGCTCTATCAAAGGATTGGGAAAGCAAAGTGACTGCTATAGAGGAAGCCAAGGATCTAAATTCTTTATCCATTGAATCTCTGATTAACTCTCTAACCTCTTATGAACTGAAACTTAAATCTAAGATGTAGGAAGAAGAAGATACAAAAGGAAGGAAGAGTATTGCTCTGAAAACCTCACAAGATGAAGATGAAACAGCCTCACTGGATGAAAATGACTTGGAAGGTGATGACAGTGATATTGCACTCATCACAAGAGGATTCAAAAAATTTCTCAATAAGAGAAGATTCAGGAAAGGCGGATCCAGCAATTCCTTCCAGAATCAGACTAACGACTTCAGAAATAGAGGGAAACTAGAGTTCAACAAGAAGCAAAACGACAAATGTTTTGAATGTGGCCAATCTGGGCATTATGCAAATGAGTGTCCAATGAAGAAAAAGAAGGAAAACAAGATTGAACGAAAACCAAAGTTCAACAATTTTCAAATTACCTCGAATGATTGCAACTCAGAAGGCGAAGTTGAAGAAGAAGAGGAATCTGCTCAAGTGGCTTTCATGGCTATTGGTGATGAAGAGGTAACATAATGCAACTCTCAAACCGATAGTGATAGTGAATCTGATGATGATGTTAATTCTTTTCTAGAAAAAATGCATAACAGATTGAAAGAATCCTATGTTAAAAACAAGGAACTGAAGCAGAAAATTAGCTTTCTAATACAAGACAATGCAAATCTTTTTCGACAAAACAAATGTCTTAAGTATGAAAATGACAACCTGAAAAGGACTGAGTCTGATGTGCTTGCTGGACTTTACAAAAAGAAAAATTACTGTGACATACTCAGGAGTGAGCAATGCAGCTTAAGAAAAAGGATGGATGACTTATGTCAATTGTTACATCATTTGAAACAGAACCATCTTCAAAAGAATAACACTGTGCCTTATACTCATCAAATAAGACTGAACCATAATACAAATGAGTTTGCTATCCACAGAAGAAGGCAAGTCAGATTCATTAAACCTGTTCATTTGATTAATCCAATGTTAGTATGCAACTTTTGCTGTCAATCTGGTCACATGAATAGCAACTGTCATGTTAAGAAAAATATGAGGAATGGCATGAGATGCATGTGGGTAACTAAACATAAAACTAACTCTCAAGGACCCAATATATAAAGGGTACCAAGTATTATCTTGTCGGTTTGTGTGTAGGTAAACCAGGATGACACTGCTAAAAAAATCAAAATGGTTCATTGATAGTGGATGCTCAAGACATATGACTGGTGATGCATCACAATTCATTAAACTCAAGCAAAAAGTAAGTGGAAAGGTAACGTTTGGAGATGATAACAAAGCCAAGACTGTTGGTATTGGCGATGTTGGTAAGAATGATCAAACTTTTATCCAAAATGTTCTTCTTGTTGACAATTTGAGTTACAATCTGTTAAGTGTTAGCCAATTGTGTGACAGGGATCTGTTTGTATTGTTCAAAAAGTTTGAATGTCTCATATTTGACTCAAAGTTCAACATTGTTTTCAAAGGAAAAAGAGTTAATGATGTCTATGTAGTTTTCCTTGAAAAAATTGATTCCTCATATCTCAAATGTCTCAAAGTAGCAAATGAGGACCCATGGTTGTGGCATAGAAGGTTGTGTCACTTCAATATGGATTTGCTGAAAGAAATTTCTAAAAAGGAACTTGTTAGAGGTCTTCCAAAAATTAGATTTGAAAAAGACAGAATTTGTGATGCTTGCCAATTTGGAAAACAAGTCAATGTTTCTTTTAAACCTAAGAAATGTGTTTCTACTTCAAAACCACTTGAACTTCTGCACCTTGATCTGTTTGGTCCTACACAGACTGCAAGCCTTGGTGGTAAGAGATACTGTTTTGTGATTGTTGATGACTATTCCAGATATACTTGGGTGATATTCCTTGCTCATAAAGATGATACCTTTAAGAATTTTACCTCATTATTTGCTAAAGTACAAAATCTGGTTGGCTTGAAAATTGTCAGAATTAGAAGTGATAATGGGACAGAATTCAAGTTTTGTGATTTTCCAGAATTTTGTGATCATAATGGTATTACTCATGAATTCTCTATTGCTAGAGTCCCTCAACAAAATGGAGTTGTAGAAAGAAAAAATAGAACTCTCCAAGAGGCTACTAGAACCATGCTTAGTGAATGCAATTTACCAAAATATTTTTGGGCTGAAGCCATAAACACAGCCTGTTATACCATGAATAGAGTTCTTCTAAGACCAATTTTGAACAAAACTTCCTATGAGCTCATGAATGACAAAAAGCCTGTTGTCGGTTATTTCAAAGTATTTGGTTGTAAATGTTTCATTTTGAATATCAAGGAACATCTTGGAAAGTTTGACAAGAAATCTGATGAGGGAATTTTCTTGGGATATTGTGAAAACAAAAGAGGTTTCAGAGTTTATAATCGTAGAACATTGATTATAGAGGAGGCTATACACATTACTTTTGATGAATCTAATGGTGACATCTCTATGAGTTGTGGTGAAGATGATGACACAGGTGTTCAAGAAGAACTGAAGAAGCTAGCAATCAATGATCATGACTCTGCCTCACCAGAAACTGACTCAAAGGATACTGATGCTCAGATCAGTCCAGTTGAAGAAGTAAATAATAGAGATACCACTACTACTAATGATCTTCCAAGAGCCTGGAAATTTGCTCATAATCATCCCAGGGAACTTATAATTGGTGATCCTTCTGAAAAGGTCAGGACTCGTTCCTCTAGTCACCTGGTAGACAATCTTGCTTTTGTATCACATATTGAACCCAAAAATGTTGCTGATGCATTGAATGATGAGCACTGGATTTTAGCAATGGAAGAAGAGTTAATCCAATTTGAAAGAAACAAAGTTTGGACCCTGGTTGCCAGACCACAAGGCCATCCTATCATTGGCACTAAATGGGTTTTTAGAAACAAAATGAATGATAAAGGGGAGATTGTTAGAAATAAGGCTAGACCGGTGGCTAAGGGATACACTCAAGAAGAGGGAATAGACTTTGATGAGTCTTTTGCACCAGTAGCCAGGCTGGAATCCATAAGAATGTTTTTAGCATTTGCATGTTTCAAGAATTTCAAACTATTTCAAATGGATGTTAAGAGTGCCTTCTTAAATGGATTTATAGATCAAGAAGTCTATGTTGACCAACCTCCTGGTTTTGAAAATGAATCTTATCCAGATCACGTGTTTAAACTATCAAAAGCTTTATATGGATTAAAGCAAGCTCCTAGAGCATGGTATGAACGTCTGAGTGGATTTTTGATTGAAAATGGTTTTAAAAGAGGCATTGTAGACACTACACTTTTTACAAAATAAAGCTCACGAGATCTTTTGATTGTGCAAATATATGTGGATGATATCATATTTGGTGCTACTAATGAAAAATTGTGCAAGGACTTTTCCATCATCATGCAAAAAGAATTTGAAATGAGCATGATGGGAGAACTGAACTTCTTCCTTGGACTCCAAGTGATTCAAACCCAAGATGGAACATTTATAAATCAAACAAAATACACCAAGGAGTTGTTGAAAAGATTCGGAATGGAGGATTCAAAGCCTGTTGGGACACCTATGTGCACATCTACCAAACTTGACAAGGATGAAAAAGGTACAAAAATTGAGGAGAAGAAGTACAGAGGTATGATTGGAAGTTTACTCTATTTAACTGCTAGTAGGCCTGACATCATGTTTGCTGTGTGTTTATGTGCTCGTTTTCAATCCTGTCCAAAGGAATCACACTTGAATGCGGTAAAAAGAATCTTAAGATATCTTAAAGGAACCTTAAATTATGGCTTGTGGTATCCAAAATGTCATGAACTTCCTTTGTGTGTGGATTCTCTGATGCTGACTTTGGTGGCTGTAAAATAGATAGAAAAAGTACTACTGGCATATGCAACTTTCTTGGAAATTGCTTGGTCTCTTGGTTTAGTAAAAAACAAAATGCTATCTCACTGTCCACTACTGAAGCTGAATATGTTGCTGCTGGTGCTTGCTGTGCTCAATTGCTATGGATGAAAAACACATTGAATGATTTCGGTTTAGTATATGAATGTATACCCATGTACTGTGACAACACTAGTGCAATCAATCTAACAAAAAATCCCATTCAACACTCTAGGACTAAGCACATTGATATAAAGCATCATTTCATTCGCGATCTTGTTTCAAAGGGGGTAATCCGTGTTGAGTTTGTTCGTTCTAAAGATCAGATCGCTGATATCCTCACAAAAGCTCTTCCGTTAGATCAATTTGTGTCCTTGAGGACAAAATTGGGTGTTTCAGAAAAAATGCTCTAAGTCTTATTTTTAGTCAATCCTTATCGGACGTCCGATAAATTGGAACGGACGTCCGACAGTGTTCTTCATCCAAGTTCCAGAAAAACCCTGGTTCGGACAGTTGTGTCGGACGCATCACTTCGTTCGGACGTCCGACACTCAAAAAATGTGTCCTATAAGGCAGTTACCCATTCTTCTCAATTCATTTTCCTCCAAAAGTCTCGGACGCGACCTTTCAGTTTCTCTAAAATTTGAAATTCAAATTCCTCCCTCCTCAAACCAAGTTCCGAGAAATTGACTCAACCAAATGTATTACACCTCTCCTGCTCATTAACCACTCATAAAAAGCACTCCTAACACCCAACTACCCCAAAATTCCCAATTTACTCACGGAACCCTAACTTCATATAACCTTCTCTTTGCGGCATTTTAGTGCACTCTTGTTGGCTTTTACTGTTTTTTCCTCTATACACAACGTTCTGCATCAAAAATCATATCCACATTACATCATGGTTAGAATTAGGGGAGGATCTACTAGTGCCGGACGGTCTTTTAGGCTTAGGGATGAAGACATTGAAGTTGTTGATCCACCTCCTGTGACACCTAAAAAGAAGAAAGTGACCCGTGGTGGCAAAGTGAAGCAGACTGCTCGAAGAAAATTGGTTACTCCAACTGCTGAATCATCTGATGAACAAACGGAAGAGCAGATCTCTGAAGGGAACATTGCTGGTGGAAATGAGGAACCAGAGCAGGCTACCCAAGGTGATGAAACTGTCCTAAGGTCTTCTAGTAAAAGAAAAAGGACTGCAAAGGGGAAGAGAACTCCCCAATCCAAGGAAAAGTAATCTGCTGATCCCTCTGTTGATCAGCAGAATGAAGAAAACACTACTGAGAATCAGCCAACACCTGAACCCTCCATCAGGAAGTCTCCAAGGACAAGGACTGAGACTCAAAATGTTGGTGCATCTGTCACCCAAACCTCAAAAAGGACACGTTCTGGGAAGAATCCAGTATCTCAGCCTGAACCTGAACCTGTTCCTCTACCAAAGTTCATCGATGATGAAGCCAGAGATAGATTTGAGCTAGTCTCTCAGAAAGGGTTCATCACCCAAAGGCTCATCATTCCCTTTGAATTTCGTAAGCTTGATCTTGAACCTGTCATCAAACTATTTGAATTCCAAAAATGGACTCATCTTCTGACCATTCCTAATGTTTTTTATCCTGACATGCTTTATCAATTCTTTGCTAATCTTAGAAAGGGTAGATCACACACTGAACTCATCTCTAGGGTCAACTCTGTAGACATCATGTTAACTCCTGACATTGTGAATTCTATTCTGAAAACTAGTATTGAAACTGGTTTCAAAGGAAAAATTGCCAATTTCTTTTCGTATGAGGAATTTCCTTCTGCCTATCATCATTTTTACAATGCTAAACTCATGACCTATTTTCAAACCACATTCAATACTCCTGCTGAGGCAAGACTGGATGATCTTAGTCCTCAGAACTTGATCATCTTCACCATCATTTCAAATCTGTTAGTGCCAACTGATGGCCACAGAACAGATGCAAACAAAATGGAACTCTATCTGTTCTACTGCTTTGTTGAAAAAATTCGTATTGACTTTGGATTTGTAATGTGCAAGTTTTTGCTCAAAATTAGCACTGACAGCCGTAGGAAGCTCTCTTATGGCAGATTTCTGACCCCTATCTTTGCCTATTTTGAAATTCCTTTCTCTGGAAAATCTCCCAAAGACAGTGCTTCATCCGTCTTCTCAAAAGCTTATTTTGAACGAAAGAACTTAAAATTTTTTGAAGGCCATTGGTGCTATAAGGAAACTGTTGCTGAGTCTAGAAGGAAGAATTTTCATGAAACCCCTGTCACTCCTAGGACCCCTCGTGATCAGTCAGACCTTATCTCTCCTTTCACCATTCATCCTAGGAAGTCTGCTAGCAGATCCTTTGCATCCAATTCTGAAGTCATTTCCTTGCTTGAAGACCTCAAGCAGCATGTCTTGCTTGTTGAAGAAGGTCTCATGATGACCATGACCTCTGACCAAAAATCCTCCTTCATTGAAAAAAGAAACCTTCTTGTCCCTCCAATACCTGAGAGCAATGTAAATGAGCCAAGAACTGAGCCCACAGGACCAACTACTAGTGCTGAGACTACACGAGCTTCTAGTTCTCAACCCAAGGATAAAGGCAAGGCTCCAGCAACTGAGGAATCAGATGAAGATGGTGATGAAGAAACTGAAGAAGAAGAGGATCCTGAACAGTATCGTCTGGCAAGGAGAAGGCCTGGATCATCTAAAATCACCATCTAGGCACTACTAAGTCATTGCACCTTTATCTAGGACTATAGTTTATCTTTTGCATTGCACTTTTGTATTAAGTGCAGGACACATGGTCTGTACAACTGGATATTTTCTTTACTGCTTATGAATGTTATAACTAAGTATTTTGTTATGAATGTTTTTTCTTGGGTGATATAATTGGTTATGTGTTTGTGCAATCTGCTGGTTGAATGAATGTTTCTGATTGATATCTGCTCAATGATTGATTCCAAACTGTGATGTACATTGTAAATGATATTGTTTCTAATGAGATGCATTGCTGGTACCAAAACTGCTTTGAAATCTTGTGATGACAAAAAGGGGGAGAATTGGAATTGGATTTGGTTTAACACTGATGATAGGGGGAGTCAGTCTCAGGGGGAGTTAAGTTGGATCAGCACTGATGATGTGGATTGCGTTTCTTTCCTGTATACTACTCTTGCACTTCGTTAGGGGGAGCTATTATATTTTGCTCTATCCAATTGTTTTGTCATCATCAAAAAGGGGGAGATTGTTTATCTCAACTCATATCTTTTGATGATTACAAAATAATTGGATGTTTCTAATACCTTTTGTAGAGATCCTTTCCAGAAATGAACCAAACAGGTCTGTGGATTTAAAGTAGAAAAAGAAGATAAAAAGGAATGAAGTCTGCTGAGGATGATGTCGGACGCACAAAATGAGAGTATCGGACGTCCGACATTCTTTGAGTATCTTCGGACGAATAAAGAACTCAGACTCGGACGTCCGAAGAAGACAAGCCAGGAGTTACTTGTTTACTGATCAGGATCGGACGCTCAACAACTGTGTATCGGACGTCCGACAAGTATTGCTGCTCTTCGGACGAATCACTCAGGATGCATCGGCCGTCCGAAGGAATTGAAGAAGAAAGTCCAAGAATGCATCCTACCCTCGGACGCATAAATACCAAGTATCGGACGTCCGACAGCACCAACGGCTAGTTGACTCTTCAGTTGCCTTCTACCCGTTGACAGCATTAATTGAAGAATTCTCTGGTCTCTAATAAATAGAACAAAGTCAACCACTTCAAGTTAACTTTGTACAACAAGACTACATCAGATTGTGAGTGATTCAAGTGCTAGAATACTCAAAAGGAACATTTGTACTCTTTGTTTGTGCAATCTTCGTGTAATTTTTCAAGTGTGACACAGCTTCTTCAATAGTGTAGCACAGTGAGGGTTTGCGAGTGCTTGTAAAACTTCCTTGCTTGACCAAGTGTGGTTTGGGGCAAGAAGGAAGTGATCCCTTCCTTGTACACAAAAGATTGGTTGCAAGTTTGTTCAACTTGAAGTAACTTGGTATATAAAGGTGGTGTTCAAACCTCAGTTGTGTTTGAAGCCTGGTTTGTTTCCTTACTTTCATTTACTGCTTTTCTACATAAACTATTCTTCTCTTCATCTCACGAATATCTGTGCTCTTGTGCTATCTTGTTCATTGGGAGGTATTTGAGAAAAGAAAGGTAATCTGTGAAAAAAAGTGGACTATATCTTAGCAGTTCCTTCAAAGCCTAATTCACCCCCCCTCTTAGGTTGTCTTCGATCCTTACACCGCCTTTGAGAATTGAAACTCCAAAATTAGAGTTCAAACTGCTCCCAAATCATCTAAGGTATGAGTTTATTGGAGAAAATAATACTCTACCTGTAATTGTTAGTGCTCACCCAAATGAAAAACAATGTACGAAGTTTCTAAGGGTTCTAAAAGTACAAGAAGGCAATTGGATGGACAATCTCGGATATCAAAGGTATAAATCCTTCTATATATGTGCACTGCATTTTATTAAAAGACAATTGCAAATCGGTGGTGAAAATGCAAAGAAGGCTTAATCCAAATATGAAAGAGGTGGTAAGAAATGAAATTCTCAAGTGGCGCGATTTAGGTACAATATTTCTTATCTCTGATAGTATTTGGATTAGTCCAATTCATGTTGTCCCTAAAAATGTGGAATTATTGTAGTTATGGATAAAAATAATGAAATGATTCCATCTCATCTCTTGGTTGTGTGGGGAGTGTGTATAGATTATCGAAAATTAAATACGATTACTAGAAAAAATCATTTTTCCTTACCCTTTCTTGACCAATTATTGGAGCGAATAGTCGATTATGAATTCTACCATTTTTTTGATAGTTTTTCAGGTTATAACCAAATAGCTATAGTTCTCGAGGATCAAGAGAAGATCACATTTACTTGCTCTTATGGCACATTTGCCTTTAGAAGGATGCCATTTGACCTATACAACGCTCCTGCTACGTTCTAACATTGCATGATGGTCATATTTTCTAATTATATTGAGAAAATTATGGAGATATTTATAGACAATTTTTCAATATTTAGTTCATCTTTTGACTGCTATATTTATAATTTAGATTTGATTTTGCAGAGATGTGAGGGGACAAATCTTGTGCTAAATTGGGAGAAATGCCATTTTATGGTTCGAAAAAGAATTGTCTTAGGGCACAAGATTTTCTTTAAGAGAATTGGTTGGACAAGGCAAAAATACAAGTTATTGAACGAATGCCACCTCCAAATAATGTCAAGGGACTTTCTGGGATACGCTGGCTTTTATAGATGATTTATTAAATATTTTTCTAAAATAGCAAAGCCATTGTGTGATTTGTTATGTAAGGATGTCCGTTTTCATTTTGATGATACATGTTTAATTGCTTTTGATAAGTTGAAGAAGGAGTTGACTTCACCGACTTGGTCGCTATCATTTAAATTGATGTGTGATGCAAGCGATTATGCGGTTGCAGCTGTTTTAGGTCAAAGGAATGAAGGAAGGTTGCATGTCATTTATTATGCAAGTAAATTGCTTAATGAAACACAACTCAATTATACAACCACAGAGAAAGAACTATTAAATGTGATATTTTTTTAGATAAATTTAGATCATAATTAGTAGGGTCTAAATTAATCATATATATCGACCATTCAACTCTTAAATATTTGTTCCATAAGAAAGATGCAAATCACGTCTGATCCAGTGGATTCTCTTATTGCAAGAATTTGATATGAAAATAAAAGATAAAAAAGGATCAAAGAACCTTGTGACGGATCACCTTTCGAGACTAGAGTACATCCCTACCAATAATCAATTTTTGATTAAAGAGAGTTTTTCAAATGAATTTATCCTAACAATTATTAATTTTTCATGGTATGCGGATTTTGCCAATTATTTGATAAGTGGAGTAATGCTAAAGGGTTTTAATTATCACCAAAAGAAAAAATTCTTACATGATGTGAAAAGTTACTCTTGGGAGGAACCATTACTTTATAAGCATCGTGTCGATGGTATGGTATGTAGATGTATTCTCGAAAATGAGGTATGTGATATTTTATGTCATTGTCATAACCTAGAAACGTGTGGTCATTTTAGTAATTCAAAAACTATAACAAAGATATGGCAATCGGAGTTTTATTGGCCAACAACGTACCACGGTGTTAGGGAGTATGTTAAAAGTTGTGAAGCTTGTCAAAGAACCAAGAATATTTCTAGAAAAAATGAAATTTCCCTTACCACTTTTTAGAAGTTGAATTATTTGATGTTTGGAGAATGAATTTTATGGGACCATTTTCTAGTTCTTTTAATAATAAGTACATCTTAGAAGTCATAAATTATGTCTTCAAATGGGTGGAGGTGATCGCTTCACCTACTAATAACACTAAGATAGTATTTAGATTTCTTAAAAAGAACATTTTTAGTAGATTTGGTATACCTAAAGTCATAGTAAGTGATGAAAGATAGTATTTCTATAACAAACAATTTGAATCCTTATTGCTTAAGTATGGTTGTAGGCACAAGACATCACTTCCACACCATCCCTAAGCAAATGGATAAGCAAAGTTAGCAAATCGAGATAACTCATCTTAGAGAAAACAGTGAACAAATCACGAAAAGACTAGGCAAAAAAACTCGATGATGCATTTTGAACTTATTGGACGGCATTTAAGATACCCTTGGAGATGTCGCCATATCGTTTAGTTTATGAAAAACCTTGTCATTTACCTGTGAAGATTGAACATAAAGCACATTGGGCTATTAAAACAATTAACATGGATTTTAATCTTACAGGTGGATAAAATTGCTTGAGTTAAGTGAATTGGATTATGCTTATGAAAATGTCAAAATTTATAAGGAAAATATCAAATATTGGCATGATAAGCATATTATCCCTATAAAATTTAAGGTGGGGGCAAAAAGTGCTTTTATATAATTCACGCTTTAGATTGTTTTCAAAAAAAATTCAAGTCAAGATGGTTGGAATCATTTGAAGTCACTCAAGTATTTCCTTGTGGAGTTGTTGAAGTAGTTAATGCAAGAAATGAGAAGTTCAAGATCAATGGACAAAGATTAAAATCCTATTTGGCGGGTGAAATCATCCCTAAAGGATTTATTTGTCCTTTGGGTGATTTTTCTTCAATCTAAGGAGCCAATTCTTTTGAGTGGAGTCAACGACTATAAACAAAAGTACCAATTGGGAGGCAACCCAATATTTTGTATTATATGTTAATTAGTGTGATTCTATGATTAAATCATGAATTTAAGTTGTTTTGATGTAATTGGAAATAGAAACAAAGAAAACCATTTGAAGTGAAAAAGGCGAATTTTGATCAAAGAACTCTACCTCTTGATTTGAGTGAAAGTTGTTCTTCATTTGTGAAAGAGGGTAGAAATGCATATTTTGATCATTTTACATATGCTCACATTGATTATTTTGACAAACGAATGATCTAGAATACATTTTGATCAAATAGGGTACTTTGTGTAATTTTAGAAAGCTAATATTTCTGCAGAAAATTGCAGAAGAAAATGTAGGCTCAGAGAAAACGCGACCTTAGGTCATGTTTTTCTGAGATTGTGTAGACACCAAATTTTTGTCAAATTTTATGTTTTCTCGAATATTTTCTATTTGATGAGCAATTTATTTTCTTGCATTTTTTAAGTATATTTTTGTCTCATTTTTGTAGATTT